ACTTAAAAAAAAAAAACCCCAAAAAAACTTCAAAAGGTGAATCATATTAAGTCCACGTTTGACCCTCATTCTCTAAAAACTCATTTTATCTTAAGTTCAATTTTAACCACACATTCTTCCAATAAAATAATTTGACACGTAAATCTAAAACATTTTCATAATTTTTAACAACATATTATCAAAAAATCACTATTACAATTTTTTTTTTTTTTTTCAGAAATGAAGCTACACACATTCTAATAAACAATAAATAAATAAAATTTTAAGAGCTACAAATTTGCAAGTCAAAGTTACAATCTAGCATGATTAGCTCTCTTTTTTAATACAGATTAAAATCAAGTATAAAATTTTAATACAAAATAAAATTATATTTATGAAAAAATATTATTGAAGTCAATTATGCTAAGAAAAGTTAAAAATAGAAGAAATCTTCAAGGAGTTGAAAGTGTTTGATCCATGGTGGGCTTCTCCAGTTGTTCGATGGGTACGAACCTCACTAATATTGAGTTCCGATAGCTGGCTAACTTTAATAAAAACATCTATTAAGATATATGGCGGATTAGGCACGGGAGAAATAGACATATAGATATTTGGTTAGGGTTTGGAATAATGCGTACATTTTCCTTTGCCCATTCATGGCTATTTATAGAGAGAGTCATTTTGAAACTAGGTTAAGATGTAACACTAATTTCACACGCAACCTTCTATTTGGTCCTCATAGTCTTGGTTGTGTTATGGTAAATTCCTTTTGATACATCCGTTTTCTTATAGGACCGAATTATCTAGTACTGATTGATTTTTTAAAGATTTTTCTCGATCTCCAAAGATTTTATGCTGATTTTTAGGATATGGTAAGGTTGTTTCCGTGGAGGGATCTCATTCTTCAAATATCTTCGGTCTTTGTTTCAAGAATCACGGATTCGATGACCTTCGTCGATCGAACCCACAAAGAAGTATAAAAATCATACGAGGGTAAGTGGTTCGCCCAGTGTGAAACTTATACGTGGCGACAGTGTTGTACAATGACATAATGTATATATTGTTGAAGCAAGATTTTACATTAGAATAAGGAGTGGGGATCGCATGCGATTGCCTCGTGATAATATATTGAAGGCCTAGTGGTCTTTGTCTCCCGAGTGGCGCTTACATGGCACCTTCATAATTTTCGGAATGTAATAATTTCATATTTAAATAGAATAATGTTTATTAGCCAAAAAGCTATGCTTAAACAACCTTTAAATTTGAAAGTTAATGTACATAATAAACTATGATATCTTGCATAAACAAGCCTATGTTTGGAAAACGGATTTATAAATTGTTTATAAGTTCAGTCAAAGTCAAACATTAATTTCAATCATATATTTATAACTACAACCCATTATTATTCACATATTTTGTGTGACTCACTATTATTCGTCTAATATTTCTTTTTATAAACCATTTATAAATTGGGTTAATTTTACAAATAGTCACTGAAATTACGTAAAAATAACAAAACGGCCACTAAAGTCTAAAACTTGCAGAAATGGTCACTGAAGTTTCATGTGGTTTAAAAAAGAGTCACTGAAGTTTTATGCGGTTTCAAAAATGGTCACTGAACTTAGTTTTAGGACTATTATGTCTTAATTCAATCCTAAAGTACCAACATGCGTTGACAAAGAAGCTGGAGGACCTCAAGTACAAAATTCAACTTAAAATCTCCCCAACCCCAAACCCAAATCACCATTTTTCGCGCCCCATTCCACCACATTCTGGCCACCAAAACCATCGAACTAACACACCATCTTGAAACCCTTGCTTTTGTATATGCAACCCACCCAAGAATCGCCCCTACCTCTGACGGTGGTGGCCGTAATTTCGTCCAAAAGTGGGTATCTCGCACAACCGACAGTTTTTTGCTGTGCGAAAGGCCCACTTTTGGACGAAATTCTACCATTTTCCGGCCACCAAAACCACCGGACCAACCTACCCAAGAATCGTTCCTAAATCGCCGGAAAGTGGCCGAAATTTCGTCTCAAAGTGGCTGCTGGCAGTTTTTGCTATGGGAGCGACCCACTTTGGGACGAAATTTCGGCAACCTTCCTGAGGATGTAGGGATGATTCTTGGGTAGGTTGCGTAGAGGAAAGTGAGGGCTTCAAGGTGGTATGTTGTTCCATGATTTTGGTGGATGGAAAGTGGTGGAATTTCATCCTAAAGTGGGCCTCTCACACAGCAAAAATTTGCCGGTTGTGCGAGAGGCACACTTTGGGACGAAATTTCGGCCACCATCGTCGGAGGTAGGGGCGGTTCTTGGGTTGGTTGTGTAAAGGGAAGCGAGTGCCTCAAGATGGTGTGTTGGTTTGGTGGTTTTAGTGGGCAGAATGTGGTGGAATGGGGCGCGAAAAGTTGTGGTCTGGGTTTGAGGCTGGGGAAATTTTAAGTTGAATTTTGCACTTGAAGTCCTCCGGCTTCTATGTCACGTGTTTTGGTGCTTTTGGTTTAAATTAAAATATAATAGTACTAAAACTAAGTTCAGTGACCGTTTTTGAAACCGCGTGAAACTCCAGTGACCATTTCTACAAGTTTTAAACTTTAGTGATCGTTTTGTTATTTTCGCGTAACTTCAGTGACTGTTTGTGAAATTAACAATTTATAAATTTGTCCAATGGAAGCTAAAATTAACACAATGACATAATGATAAGAAATACTACGTATTGTCTCAATCATTTAAAGTGCATTTGGTTTGCTGTATTCAAACCTTTTTCAGTTTTCAATTTCACAAAATACTAAAAAGTATTTGGTCTAGTATTTTCGAAAACGATGATAAACTTATAATATAAAATTTAAAAATGCATTTTTAACGTTTTGAGTGTTTTTAGTAAAATTCTTAAAACACTCAAAACATAAAAAACAAGAGTTTAAATAAATTTTAAAAAATGAAAATTATAAAATTATAACAAATAAAATTTTAATTTTTTTTTTAAAAAACAATAAAGATGAATTTTAAAAAAAAATTTATAAATTCTAAAAAATAAAGTTAAATAAAAACTTTGAAAATTTAAAAAAATATATAAATATTTATGGAAAAAAAAAAAAGTTCAAGCTCTTATTGATTATTTACATAAATATTTTGAAAAATGTTTTAATGATCACGTATACAAATATTGTAAAGTCTGAGTCATTAATTTTTATTTTTATTTTCTATATTTTGAACTCAACTTATTACTTAGAGCATGTCTGGTGAAACTTTTTCACCCAATTAAAATCATTTTTGTGGTCGTTACATATCATTTCAGCAGCCTTTTTTGACTGCTTGTGAGAGAAGGGGGACCCACCAGTGGACTTTAACGGTAACATTAATACTTAAAATCTGAAAATAATCCTTACCAGACATGTTCTTATTTCTATTTTACTTTTATAGTGAGAAAAAATATTGTAAAATTAAAAATTTTCAAATGTATATATTTATAGATAATATTTTAATATAAAATCGTTCTATTTTCACTAAATAATAAAATTTCATAAAATAAAATATCATAAAATAATTTTTTATAATTTCAAACCAAGCGTGTTTTATAATTTTCTATTTTATGAAATAATTTTTCAAAATAACAAATCAAATGCGTTTTTATTAATTTTAAAATAGACCCTCAAAATAGAAAATTAAAAATGAACTCAAAACTGAAAATTGAAACATCTATCGAACGGACTTTAGTTTTTTCAAATCGAATTGAATATATATTCCATGTTTTATATCATAACCCATGATCTCTCATTTCTTTTGTTGAGCACCTACTTACTCTATTTCACATAAATTGAGAAGCCTATTTATAAGTATCTCCAATACAAAAAAAGAAAATAAATAAATAAGTAGGAGATGAGGGCAAAAATGGAAAGAAAAGGAAACAATTGTGAAGAATTGTAGTCCATAGGTTAACCATGGCTCAGCCAGACGGTGGGTCCATACATAGATCAAACCATGCATGGGATTTTCCCAATAAGTATATAAAGCTCGAAATTTTAATACACATTACTGCTACCTCTTCATTGTCCTTTCCGAAGACACATTTTCCTCTATTTCTCTCTCCTTGCCGCATACTCTTTCTTCTTCTTCTTCTTCTTCCCAAAAAATTATTTTGGAAATTAAAATAAAATAAATTTAATTAACTTTAAATAAATTAAATCTTCTGCGTGAACGTATTTTAGCTAAAAATTAAATAAAAATTGACCCCGTTTTTGGGTTGGAAAGTAGGAAAGAAAGAAAAAGAAAAAAGAGAGAGTTGGGGAAATATATATAGAGGAGGAAGAACATTGCCCTCGATTCCTACAGTAGCCTCCTCTCAGATCTTGCTCTAATCGGTGAAAAGTGAAAACTTTGATTTGGGTATTCAAGATTTTCTTGATATTTTGTGGTCTGTTATTAATCTGAACATGTTCGATGACTGATTTCTTTGTTGGGTTGTTTTTCTCCTTTTTTTTTTAATTGTTTTCAGGGGTCTCTGATTGGACTGATCATCCAAGGATCCAATACTTTTCGATAGAATCTGATAATTATAGTCCTTTGCTCTTGAATACTTTCATATTTTTAGTCCTTCATACTCGAGGTATGTTTTTTTTATGTTTTTTTTTTTTTTTCATTTTTCCATTTTTCCATTTGATGTTTGATTCTCCTTTTCCACCTGCATTTTATTGTGTGGAATCTGAAATCAGGTAGTGATTTAAAGTGTAATTTTGCTGCCTTTTTTAGTTCCGTTTCAGTGGAGCTCTGTGCTATTTGTTGGATCACTACTTGATAATCTGATTATTTGATGATTTACAGAAATAGTTGGCTTTTTTGTTGAACTGAGTTTAGTAGTGGTGATTGTAAATGCAGATTTTGGATTTACAGTCTTTTCGGAATTGTAAAATGATGCAGTCTGACCTTGGCAAGTTATTTGTTGGTGGGATTTCGTGGGACACGACTGAAGAACGACTAAAAGAATACTTTGGTGCATATGGAGATGTGCTGGAAGCTGTAATTATGAAGGATCGTGCCACGGGACGTGCTCGTGGATTCGGTTTTGTTGTTTTTGCTGATCCTGTTGTTGCTGAGAGAGTCATTAAGGATAAGCACAGAATTGATGGCAGGATGGTAGGTCATTCACATTTGTTGAGTTCTTCATTGAGGTTTTATCATCAAGGTTACTGCATCCTGGGATTTTGCATATATCCTGCCATTTGCTTTTCTTTTTCTCCTGAGTAAATTAAAAGAAGAAAAAAAAGGGGTGGTATTATCTCTGAATTGTTGTAAGAAGAATACATGAGACTGACTGTAAGTAGCTTGTAATTGTTAAATTTCAATTGTATCCAAAGTTTGAAGGATCTAACTATGTAATAGAGTGAAATGTGGGTTTTTATACAGAGGAACTTGATTTTCTTTCCTTGTTTTCACTATTTATTTCTGTTATTATAGATTTTGCAACTGAAAGTTTTTCCTTCTTTATGTTCAAGTTGAAAATTTAGTTCAAAAACTCATTGTTAAATTTCAGACTTTAAACTTATTTATCATTATTAAGATTCTTTTTTTTTTTAGGTCGAGGCAAAGAAGGCTGTTCCTAGGGATGATCAGAGCACAGGGAGTAGGAACAGTAGTCGCATTCAGGATTCTCCTGGATCAGGGCAAACAAAGAAGATATTTGTCGGAGGTTTAGCATCCACAGTTACAGAGGGTGACTTTAAGAAGTATTTTGAGCAGTTTGGTACAATCACAGATGTCGTGGTGATGTATGATCACAACACTCAAAGGCCTAGAGGGTTTGGATTCATTACTTATGATTCGGAGGATGCGATAAACAAAGTCCTGCTCAAGACATTTCACGAGCTGAATGGTAAAATGGTTGAGGTCAAGCTTGCAGTCCCCAAAGAGTTATCGCCAAGTCCTAGCCGAAGCCCTCTTGGTGGATATAACTATGGTATAGGTAGGATCAATAGCTTCCTTAGTGGCTATCCTCAGGGCTACTCTCCAAGTACAATGGGAGGATATGGAGTTAGGATGGACAGCAGGTTCAGTCCAATTGCTGGTGGGAGAAGCAATTTCACTCCATTTGCTCCTGACTATGCTCTGGGCCTCAATTATGAACCTGGGTTAGGCCCAGCTTATGGAGGAAGTGCAAATTTTAATAATTCTCTCAACTATGGGCGGTCACTAAACCCTTATTATGTTAATTCAAGCTCAAATAGATTTGGCAATTCTGTTCGGATTGATGGTGGGAATGGAGGAGATTCCTCTTTTTTCAGTTCAGGTGCAGGTACGGGTACCCGAAATTTATGGGGTAATGGAGGGGTTAATTATGGAACAAACTCTGCTGGGTCTAGTAATTATGTGGAATCTGGGAGTGGGAACATTGGGGGAGGAACTTTTGGCAACAGTGGGGTTTGGGGTACTAATTCATTTCCACCACAAGGTGGACAGAACGTTCCAAGCCAAATTGGAAATTTTGGTTATGGAGGTGGTGATAACACTTATGGTTTGGCAGGGAGAGGCTATGGAAGAAATATTTCAACGAGTAGGGCCCCAACCTTATCATATGCTGCATCAACTGACAGCTATGATGGGGCTCTTGCTGATCTGTATGATAGCACTTTGGGTTATTTAGATCCTACGTGGCATTTCACAAATTCTGAGCAAGAGGGATCTGGTTCATTTGGTTACGGATTTGGAAATGGGCCTTCTGCTGTTGCATCTAAAATTTCTCCTGGTTATATTGGCAGTGATGGTGGCACCAAGAGACAGATTGATAGAGGTAAGCTGTTTGTTTACCTTTCAAACAAGTATGTTGCTTAGAGCCTGTTTGGCCCCCATTTTTTGGGGTTGAAAATTTGTAGAATAGTGATTGATGGAAAAATGTGTGGTGGAAAAATTTTAGATTTGTGTGTAATATTATTTTATTTGAGAATGTGTGGTTGAGATGAAAAGAGAAAAAAAATTAATGTAATGGAATGAGAAAAAATGGGGCTCAAACGGGGGCTTAATTAATTAACTATATATTTCCTTTAATCGATTTACTTGTTTGCTGGGGGCGTTGGTTGTTATGACTCATGACAAATTATAGTCGTAAATGCATTTTAATGCTTTGTTGAGTGTTTCATCTGAAAGTTAGTTATATGTACAAATTTATTTAACAATCTTTATTATTAGAACATGGTGGCAGGGGAGATGCAGATGAGCGTGATGGAGAGTGAGGACATGAACAAAAATGTGTGTGCATTTAAGTAAAACTCATATTTACAGTCAAGTTTTGTAGTTGGTAGAAGATTGAAGAAAAAGCAAAATGTAATTGCTGAAGAAAGTGTAATATGTAAGGCCAGATTGGTGCTGCCAGTACCAAGTTATATTTTCCAACACATTATGATTTGCTTCAGTGTATAATGTATGGACAGTGATAGATAACTAGGACTGAGTTTATGAAGAAAACTTGAGGGGTTATGATTGCTGTGACCTAGTCATAATTGAAGTGTTAAATATTAGAATAAATTGTTTTCATGCCACTAGTTGGCCACTTTGGAATAATGAACAGTTGATAATATACAGAATGGGCTATTCATGAAGAAGTTAATGTTTATCTATGTGCTGAAATTAGAAGGTTAGGGGTAATGAGTAATAGCTATTATCGATTATTAAGGACACAGCATCAGGTGAAAACTTGCATACCAACCATATAGACACATACCATTTCTCCGTAGTGTCTACAGGTAGTCATGTATCAAGGCATAAACCCCAACATATACCTATAAAATGATTTAAAAAATTAAATGAGTATAAAAACTATACATTCTATCCTAATTAACCACAAATTATCCAAAAATTAATACCAAAACATTTCAATCAAATTCAAAGTTTGTTTTGCAACTAGAAACATAAAGTGGATCAATAAAGTAGCAAATAAGATATTGTTGAAATAGAATCACACAAGACCACTTATCCACAACTAGAACGAGAAATGTAAAACAAACAACTGACAGCTATTTGAGAATTTTGCTTAGTTTTGAGGTCTCACCACTATTCCTTGTAGCAGCATGACACATGCCTCCCCATCTTTCTCACACAATATACATCTGAATTTTATCCTTTGATAAAGGAGTTGAAGAGATCTTGGTAGGTGGAGTGGTATATGCTTAGAAATCTTGTCAAACACTCAATTCTTAATCAAATGGAAGAGAACACAGAAGTTGTGGCAGTTGGGGGGAGGAGATCAAGCAGTAATTGGCAATGAGATCATAGCCAACTTAGAAAGAGGAAAAATGCTATGCACCCAATTTCTTGCTGCTTTCTATGGGCTGCCAGATGTTCATAGAAAATCCTCAAGGTTTTAAATTATTTGAGAACAATTTGAGGCACTTGAGCCGGAATGTATCTGCACTTCTCCATTGTAATTAAATTTTTTTTTCTATTTTATGGAGATACTTGTGATTTGTGACAGGAGGTAATAAACATTCTAAAACTTTCCTCCTGAAGAGTGGATCTCCACAAGGGGCGTAGATAGGGGATGGGAGGTTAGCCCAGAGGTAGCCCAAGCCCAATTCCTTTTTCTAGATGGAAAAAATTAAAATTATACTTAAAACAGAATTATATGAAAATTTATATATTTCATAATTTACCCAGCCAAAAAAATTTTAGTCCACCCTTGGCTCCGTCCCTGATCTCCACCGCCTCCTCAAAACACCCATTCAAGAGGTTTACAAGTATGAATAGGAGTAGAGCCTTATTTATAAAGCAATTTGTATGCATTCTTAAGTGGTTCGCCATTGGTTTATAGAAGATCCCCAAGGTTTTAAATTATTTTAGAACAATTTGAGATGCTCGATCCATTATTTATATGCATTCTTGATTGTGAACATCTTTTCTATTTTGTGTAGATATTTATGTCAGGGAGTGAGGACAGTCTAGAGTTTCCTCCTGGCCGTTGGATCAACACTTCCTCTAACCATTTTTCGAGGAGGTGTACAAGTATGAATAAGAGTAGGCCCTTATTAATAAAGTGTCCAAGCATCTTGTATGCATTCTTAACTTAGAGCAATATTGCCTTCACATTTTTTCAACCACTCCATTCTAGCATCTAGCTTTCCATATCTGCCAAATTCTTATCTTGATGGCAGTTATTAGGAGTTACTTTTCAGCAACTATCTTACAGATGGAAAATGTATTTGTTGGCCATGGTTGCAGGATATTCCACTAGATTGCTTTCTTTGATTTTGAAAGGAGCTATAAAAACATTTGTATGGATGTGTTTTGTTTCAATTGTCTGCTCTGGGTTAATTTTTCCCCTCTGCTTATCTATGTCTCACACCTTTTCCAATAATAAAACTTTCCTCTAAGATCTTATCATTGGAACTGACAAAATGCAATCCCAATGATTGGAACATCTCATAAAAACAAAACTAAGATCATATGAATCCTTCTCTAAATTGTTTATCAGTGAACAATTCTGCACATTCAAAGAAGCATAAAACCTTAGCCTTTGGGTAGTGGAACAAATAATTAATAGATGGGACATTACTTGGTCAATTGTCCGCTCTAAATTTTATATGATCTTAGCTTTGTTTCATGATTGCTCTTTCCCGTATCTAGTGTTCAGATTGTCAGTTTAACTTTATACGGGAAGAGCAATCATGAAATAGAGGGTTCGAACTATTGATTGTTTTTGTGAAAGATTGCTCGTGGAATAGAGTCTATATTGATTTCGTCAAAATGAACCATTTATCTTATGCATTCCCGGGCTTAGCTTGTTTTTCATTGATTATGATTAAGGACATAAAAAGGACAAATGTGTTCGTGGTATTGGAATCTTAAGGACCATTAGTCTCATATTGCTATTCTGCCAAGAGTGCATGCAGTGTAAGTACACATGATTTGTCTTATATGTGTAATTTACTCGAGAGCAAGCTGTAGGAAGTCATTTATCCATGACATTTTTTTTCTAAAGGTGAAGGCGCAAATTAAGACGTTTTGTATCTCCCCCAACCCACATACTGAATACTTATTGATGGAAGATTGCAACCTCTAAATGCGGTTTCATATTTCCCCCACCCCCACTGGGTTTACCTCAAAAAGCTGTTTGGGACCCTGAATAATACAGCATGTTTTTATGCTTATTTCTAAAAAGGAATCCAATTTACTCTCCTTTTATTTATCTCTTTTAATCTAAGAGGTTTCTATACGTGTTTTTTTTTTAAAAATTACCTCTAAAGTTTTGACATAGTTATTACAATGTTTGATGCATTCCCTTTGTCAAGATGTTAACGATTGAATCAAAATATATTGGTCATCTCGTCGAAATTTTGATTTTGTAAATTTTTCTGACCGTTATTTGTCAACTTATGACATTCTTATTTTTTGGCTTTATACAGATATTGCTGGCTAGGAGGATGTTACAGTAGATCAAAGTTTATGTAGCAGCTGAAGTGTGAATTTTGCATACTTGACTTTTCATTTTGAGTTGAAAAGTTAATGAATTGTGTATCTTTGCTAGAGCCTAACTAGAGTGCAAATACCTGTTTGAAGGATGAAGTTTAGAGATAGAAGTCTCAAGGATTTCTTGAGTCATTCACCATCTTTGGTGTTTCATTTTTGTCTTTTGAGTGAGATGTAAAATTATATCGCAGCATATAGTAAAGAAAAAACAATGTATCATGCATTTCTGCAGAGCGGCGATACAGAAAAAATGAAAAAAAAAAAGGAAAAAGAAAAGAAAAGACAGGTTATTAAACCTTTTTTAGAGGTTTTAAATCTTTTGTCATGCTGTAATTAAGTGATTCTACAAACATATAATTTGCATTATTGTTTTAAGTTCATTTGAATTAATATTATTATTATTATTATTATTATTATTATTATTTTGTTTCAGCGGTTAATTTTGGTTTGAATAACTTTGTGGGGTTGATTACCTTTTAGGGTCCACCTGAGTAAGTGGTCTCAATTCTGATTGTCATAATTTATTTGGATGTTCTAGGTTGAGGTTTTTAATACGGTCCGTTTGATTGCAAATGTGGAAAATTGGTGAAAAGAAAATGTTTTACAGGGAATTGATTTACTTAGAAATTGTTTTATTGTGAATTGTAATTAATTGTTTTTGATTGGTATAATTTTTCATGGAAAATGCTGAAAGTTTGGTGTCTGGTTGATTTCGTTTTTTATGAAAATTGTTCATTAAAGTGATTGGGTCTAGAATTTGTTCCAACTGCCAAAAAAAAAATTTGAAAAAAAAAATTACCATACCGAATACTATTTGTTTGGCTTTGTTTTGAATGAAAATTGTCAATAAAAATGATAAATTTTTTTACCATTGTGTCTAGAATTTTTGCCAATTGCAAAAAAAAACCTGGAAAACATTTACCAATCCAAACATCAAGAATTTGTTTTCCTAAAAAAGGTGGAAAATTTGGGAAGTTGGAAAACATTTCCCTGAAAAAATTTTGCTTATCAAACATTACAAAAGTTGGAAAATGAAAAATATGGTGTATCAAATGGAGCATACATGTAATCTTGTTTTCCAACCGGCACTGAACTTCAAAATGTTTTCAAATAGTCATTGTACTTTTAGCCCTTGTTCGATTTAGATAAAAATAAAATTTTTAGTAGATTTTGATAAAAGTTAACGGAATGTATGCTTACAAAGTTTGGATCTCGTGAAATATATGACTAAAATTAATTGTTGATTTAGACTTAGATTTCAATCGAACTTTTTAGTCGAACCAAATAGTGGCTCAAAGTTGTTTTCTCTAGATGATTTTCTTGCGTGACAACTAACGACATGTCATATCACACAGATTATTCAAGCGACATTTTTAAATAGAGTAATGCTATTTGTTGCAATCCTAATCTAAGTGGAATTGATGTAACATTAAATAATAAGTAGAATTACTCGTTTAATTTCACATTTTATTTACCCTATCATGTAGCGTCACTGAAGTGATTATCTGATTTTGACTCGCTAAGTGATACTATTGTGAGGTCAAAAATCAAAGTAAGAACTCTCTGCAATTCCTATGCCTCTCAAGTGTTTGATTTAAAGCCTCAAAGAAAATTTCTCAACTCATTTTGGGGTTTAGATCAATTGATGGCTTTACCAAAACTGCTAATTCCAGTGGATTGAGTGTGTAGTGTGAATTTTGAGGTGCAAATCTTACGTAGGTACAGAGAAAGATAGGATGAAGGCGAGCGTGGAAGGCGAAAAGGTGATACTGGTGCCTTACATGAGAGAGCACGTGCCTAAATACCACGATTGGATGCAAGATCCTGCCATCCTCGAAGCCACCGCTTCCGAATCCCTCACACTCGAACAAGAATTTGACATGCAAGTCTCCTGGACGCAAGACCCCCTCAGTATGCATAATAAAATTATCATTGCTTAATGAAATTTTGAGGGTTTCGATTTAACTTATAGGTCGTCTTTACCTTTTTCATGCGAAATCAGAGAAAAGAATGACGATGATTTTTTGGATTTGACTTCTGTTTTTGCAGAGCAGACTTTTATAGTACTGGACAAAGAATTGGTTGTTGGAGACTTCATTCCTGGAGATCCCCATGTTGAAGGTCATTATTATTTTTTAATCTGAATTCACAAATAGTGTCATCTAATCCTGGCATATCATGGTGCAATATATGATTACCATGGGCTATAATTGTTCAATTTGAGGCAGTTCTTCTACTTTAATGTTTTGGAGTTTTGAATGTTATTTATTCTTCGTATTCTTTTTTTTTTTTTTAAATCTAAAATATAATATCCT